CATCAGAGACTTATTTTACGTCTTGTAAAAAAGGGCATAACAGGTGGCCTTAAAAAAAAAAAAAAAAGTTACATAAACCCATGTATCTTTTTTTGTTATCTCTGAAAGATGTTCCAGCAAAGCCAGCAAATGAGTATCTGCTATTCTCATCTATGAGGTGATCGGAAACAACATTCCCTATTTGCCCATCTCGATCGCTATGCTTGTAAAATAGTATACACTACTGCCTATTGTGTAAACTATATATAAACAATATATTTATATAAATATAATGATGACAAGGTAAAACATTAATAACATAAACATCCGTCGTAACCATGTATGGTTTGCTACTGCCTAGATCGTATGAGCTGAACTCGGTGTCCTAAAACGTGTGCGGATCTGCAGCTGGATATTATTGGAATTGATTGACAGGCACATATTTACATGTCTCCATAGTAACGCATGACATATCCACAGAACAGGGTTCGCAAAGAAACAGACTTAAAGATCTGTTCAACTCTCAGCTGCACCTTAAAAATGAGTTTTACAAGATGTTTTTAAAACAGAGCATGTTTATAATAAAGACATAGATGTTATTCGAGAGTCTATGCAAAAACTGTGTGTGTGTGTACTTTGAAGTTTGTAATGGCATTTGTGTGTGACTCATTGCAGAAAACAATGCATCTTTTTTTTTTCGAATAAACTCCACCACAGATATATCAAATAAACGTACTTGCGATATTTGACTCATAAACTCATCAACTGAATCTGCTTCTTCCATGTTTAACTCTTTCACTGACTGCTGTTTATCTAAATTGATGCAGTAGGAATAGTGGACTGGGGATAACCAGCTCATTTGCATTAAAGGAACAGGCTACAAAAAGAGGGACACATTGCTCTGAGCACAAACTGAGCTTATTCTGACTGATAGAATGAATAATCTAATGGGTATTTTGAGCTGAAACTTTAAAAACACAATATGGAGACACCGAAGGTTTATCTTACTTCTTGTAAAAGCGGTCAAATAGGAGCCCTTTAAAAACAGATTAAAAAGAGTCCAACAGACCTAGAACTCACCTAGAATGAGAGGAAATCTCGCTCAGGTCTCCCATACTGCCATCTGCAGGGTTGTGTCCGGTGGCCAGATCCGCGGCGTAGCTTTGGGGAAGGTATAACCTGTTGTGGTCCTCTTCTGTAGGCCCTTCTTCTGTCAGCTCGGGCGTCCAGGGGTGGCCCGGATCAGACGCGCCCCGGCCCTGCAGCATGACGCGGGACGCTGGAGCACCGGCGCCCCCTGGAGTCATGCTGCAGGGAGCAGTGTCAATCCCGCTGTCTGTGGACGCTCCTTTAATGTAGGTGAGACCCAGCATCTCAGGATCCATCAGGTCACCGGAGCCGAAGTGCTTCTCATCACTGTTACTGCTGGAGGCGTTGCTGGACAGAGTGTTGCTGCTGGAGTGGCTGGAGTTTTTATCGCCGCCCTGCTGGAGAGACACAATATAACACAATAAAGAAATATTCATATTTGGACACATCCTAATGCAAAAAGCTAGAACCCATCCAGAAAACCTTAGCAATCATCTAGCATTGTGCTAAAAACATGAGCAGATAACACTTTACAATAAGGTTGCATTAGTTAATGCTAGTTAATGTAATTACTAACATGAAAAAAACTATAGAAAATACATTTATTACAGTATTTATTCATGGTTATTACTGTTAGCTAATGGAAATAAATTAGTTCACTGTTGAACAAGTAACTGTCAAGCATATTCTTTCTTTCTTACTATCTATCCATCCATCTGTCTACTTATCCATTCATCTATCTATCTATCCATTCATCCATACGTTTATCTATTCATCTGTCCATTCATTCATCCATCCATCCATCCATCCATCCATCCATCCATCCATCCATCCATCCATCCATCCATCCATCCATCCATCCATCCATCCATCCATCCATCCATCTATCTATCTATCTATCTATCTATCTATCTATCTATCTATCTATCTATCTATCTATCTATCTATCTATCTATCTATCGACAAGCATATTCTTTCTTACTATCTATCCATCCATCTGTCTACTTATCCATCCATCTATCTATCCATTCATCCATCCAACCATCCATATATCCATCCATCCATCCATCCATCCGTCCGTCCGTCCGTCCATCCATACGTTTATCTATTTATCCGTCCATCCATCCGTCCATCCATCCATCCATCCATCGGTCCATCTATTCTTACGTTTATCTATTCATCCATCCATCTATCCATCCATCCCTCTATCCATCCATCCCTCTATCCATACGTTTATCTATCCATCTGTCCATCCATCCATCAATCCATCCATCCATCTATCCATCCATCCATCCCTCTATCCATACGTTTATCTATCCATCTATCTATCGATTCATCTGACTACTTATCCATCCGTCTATCTATCCTTTGTCTATTTTTCTATTCATCCATCCATCCAACCATCCATCCCTCCGTCCGTTCAGCCATCCATCCATTCATCCCCCTATCCACCTATCTATCTATCTATCTATCTATCTATCTATCTATCTATCTATCTATCTATCTATCTATCTATCTATCTATCTATCTATCTATCTATCTATCTATCTATCTATCTATCCATCTATCCATCTATCTATCTATCTATCGACAAGCATATTCTTTCTTACTATCTATCCATCCATCTGTCTACTTATCCATCCATCTATCTATCCATTCATCCATCCAACCATCCATATATCCATCCATCCATCCATCCATCCATCCATCCATCCGTCCATCCATACGTTTATCTATTTATCCGTCCATCCATCCATCCGTCCATCCATCCATCCATCCATCCATCCATCCATCCATCCATCCATCCATCCATCCATCCATCCATCGGTCCATCTATTCTTACGTTTATCTATTCATCCATCCATCTATCCATCCATCCCTCCCTCTATCCATACGTTTATCTATCCATCTGTCCATCCATCCATCAATCCATCCATCCATCAATCCATCCATCCATCTATCCATCCATCCATCCCTCTATCCATACGTTTATCTATCCATCTATCTATCGATTCATCTGACTACTTATCCATCCGTCTATCTATCCTTTGTCTATTTTTC